ATCATAATTTGGCTGTTGTACTTTAGAAGAATGAATGCAGTAGAAAAAGAGAAAGTCTTAATGTGGAATGGATTGACTCAGTAAAAGAATGCTACAGCCTTTAGTCTGAGGATGGCTCTTAATGATGGAACCTTTTGGAGGTCATTAATTCATAGGGTCATCTTAAGTTGAAAACAACTGCAGAGAACAATAACATCTGCTTTTATTACATGTTCAATGCCATAGTGAAGAAATCTATTTTTTTAAATGTGGATATATTCAGAAATGAGACACAGATGCTTTATGCAAGGAGACTCAGTGCCCATATGTTGATTATCAGTCCCTTTGGATGATGTAATAGATTAAATATCTCTGCAGCAATTTTATGTGGAAGTTGTTGGAGCAATTTGAAATACTTGTGTGTATGGGTGCATCAAGAATAAAGTACTTCTTAATATCATTGTAAACAGACCTGAAACATGCCTTGCTGATGTGGGGTTGATATCTAACTTGGTTTTGCATTTCCCAAATGGACTGACACTGTTTCTTGAGCCAGTGACAAAGAGAAGATTGAAAGCTGCAGCCCTCAAGGAAACCTAAGGTCTCTTCTGCATGCTCCATTCAGGCTATCTGAATGAGGTGACTAGACATTCTCAGTGTTCAAAGCACTGTTCAGAGCTTCTGGACAGCTTTCCTTTTCAAACTCTTCAGCACTATCTCCATTGTTAGTGAGGAGAGCCACAATCAATGCTAGGATCCTGCACAGAGTTGCCCAGCAGAGCTTTTCTGAGTGGAATGTTACACCATGACCCACAGAAAGATAGTGCTGACCATTCAGTAGCTCGCCATGAAAAATCTGCACAGCACTTTGCAGGCAAAATTGCTCAGATCTGCTCTTACTTGGATGCAGTAGTTAATACAGGTTCTGTATATGTAACTACAGAATGATGCAAATGCACCTGAATGATGGGAACATTTCAAGAATGCTGTTTATAACACCACTTTGTCCACATTTGGCAAGAAGCCCAAAAAGATGGCAGACTGGTTCAAAGCCCATTTGGAGGAGTTGATGCAAGCCATCGAGGGTAAGAGGAGAGCTCTAGCAGCAAACAAAGCCTGTCCTAGTGAGTACAACTTGCAGGCTCTTTGAGCTGCTTGTAGCAAAGTCCAACAGGCTGTCAGGAGATGTTCCATTGATTATTGGCTTCAGCTCTGCTCTCAGATCCATATAGCAGCAGACACAGGTAACATCAAGGGAATGTATGATGGTATCAAGCAGGCTTTAGGTCCAATACAGAAGAAATCTGCTTCCTTGAAGTCTGTTACAAGTACAACTTGCAGGCTCTTTGAGCTGCTTGTAGCAAAGTCCAACAGGCTGTCAGGAGATGTTCCATTGATTATTGGCTTCAGCTCTGCTCTCAGATCCATATAGCAGCAGACACAGGTAACATCAAGGGAATGTATGATGGTATCAAGCAGGCTTTAGGTCCAATACAGAAGAAATCTGCTTCCTTGAAGTCTGTTACAAGCGTGATCATCCAGGAGCACAGCAGATGGACCGCAGGGTGCAGCACTACTCTGAGCTATATTCCAGAGAGAATGTAGTAACCGAAGAAGCATTAAACAACATTGAGTGCCTGCCTGTCTTGGAAGAGTTGGACAGTGAACCAACCTTAGCAGAAATAAAAGCAGCCTT